TCTTTTTTTTTTCCGCCCTCTCCCAGCTCATTTATCTTCAAAGAACAATGCGTTCAGTCCTCAGCTGAATTATTTAACTTCGTTTTCTAGAAATTCTTAATCAAAGTACCTTCGTCAGAGTCGAATTGATGTGCTACGCGATTTTTGAAACGCGCGGCAACTGTCTAAGTGAACGTATCCGTAAAGTAATAACGTGTTTTGCAAAAACACACACGCGCGCGAAACACACCGGCGCGCCGTTTGCAAAAGTAAATATAAAATTCCACGTGTTACGATTAATATCCCTCTCCCTCCCCCTCCTCCATCCATAGAACGCAAAACACGCGTTTATTCAGTACACGCGATAAATGCAGGTTCATTGATTAAACATGAGAACGATGCGCGTATAATTAATTAATGAATGGCTTCCATGTGTGTATGAAAAACGGTGATTCCTCATTTTTTGGTATTGCTCGATACACTGTCATTATACGCGATTTTCATTCATTTAATTCGACCGATACGCGTACGCGCTTAATTAGTTGTTGCGTATGTGCCGAAATTACTCGTACTTTATGCTCCATTTCAACAAGCGCGTATATATAACGGGGGAAAATTTCAAGTTGATTATTCGACATATTTATGCACCGTGAATTTCAAGAAGTGCATATCCGAAAGCTGATACAGTCATTATCTCGCAATTGAATAAAAATCATCTTTCTCTCGCGCAAATATACGCAAAATATATTAAAGGGATTAGAGATTGGAATACACATGAGAAAATTACATGAACGAGCGACAATTTCGATTGCGAACTTCAAGTGTCAATTTTTCGCATCTCTTTTGAAAAGTATTTATAGCAATTTATTTCCGAAACAATAACAAACAAACATTCAGTATTCAAATAAAATATACACATATTACGTTGCACAAATAAGTAAACAAACTAGATAAATCTTCATCTCGCCAAGAATTTGGAATTACCTAACGTTTGGAATTACCCTAATTATGTTTACGTAAATGAAGTATATGAAATGAATGTACATATTTAATGAAATTTCTCTGTGCCCGTGCATCATTTACATGTTATGGAAATATTTTAAGTACATCTGTCTGCGCCGCAATTTAATTTAATACCGTGTGTGATCATCAGATTTCTAACGATTGACATTTTTCAGATAAGATATATATCGAAGTTACGAACACGTACTTATATTTATCAACCGTGGGTCGACTTCCTTTGACGCGTTTCGAAATTCGCAAGAGAATGATAATTCGAGCAGAGTCAACCGGAAGACCGAGGCGTTGAGGACATTTAGACCGATTTTTCCCCACTGGCGCGTCACGGCGAGATTTTTCTTGCGCGACAACAGAAGGACGTGCAAAGAACAGCGCACAATGTGCATCCGCTTGGTTCGCTCGACGAGGATACGTTTCGCTCGCACGATGACGCTGATTCAGGATTATTCTCCCTCTTTAATTATCCTGCCTCTGCTCTCCGTCCCACCCCCGCGTGTGTCGGCATCAATGCCAGTCACCGTCGTCGTCGTCGTCGTCGGCGTCGTCGTCGTCATCTTCTCTCTTTTGCTCGCGGAAAGGACAGAAAGTCCACGCGCGCGCGACGCGATAACGAATTATCTTCGAGAACACGCTTCTTGGGCAGGAACCGGAAATATCGCCAGACGATAATAGCGATATGTCGCAAGAATTGTCGCGTTCTATACGGCGCCGTTCTTCCCCGTGATGTTTTTTTTTTATACACCTACATCATGTTCCACAAATGCGATTGAGCATTGAATGCATCTTTGAAAATTAATGTAACCTTCTATCAGAAGAATTTCGTTTCGGCAATTAACTTTGAAAGTAAATATTTTGAGAAATTTTCAATATAATTAAATATGTATAATTAAATGCGCGTTCTACGAGTCATTCAAAAATATTGATAAATCATCAATAATGAGGAAAATTATTGGCTCGCTCATAACGGAAACGTCGAAATTGTGTGATGTTCGAAATTACTGAAGTTCTACTGTACTTAAATTTATTGACAGCTATTTACTGGGTTTTTTTTTTAGTTTGATATTTATTGCAAGTGAGGTAATATATAGCGATTCATGCAAGGCATTTAAAGATAACGAATCAAGGAGTCATCCTCATTCGGAGTCATCCTCACATGTCCACTGATGATTCGCGAGTTCTCACACGCGCACACACATACGTGTATCGCGTAATCATCCATACACACTTTCGTTCGCGTGTGCGCGAATAAACCGCCGCATAAACGTAATACGCTCACACGCCCTCCTTCGCATAGAATTCACCATCGCCTTCCGCTCGTCACGCGCTCAAATACCTAGGCGAAACGAGCGTGCCGGGATCGTGAACGTAATCTTCGAACCGCCATTAGTGTTTCATCAAAAGTATTTTATTAGCACTGTTGCTGCGCGCGAGGCACACACGGGCATTTCGATCGCGTGAGGATCCGTGACACGATTCCAACATAATTCTTTATTTTTTTTTTTTTTTTATTTTTTTTTGCCTGAATCTTGATCGTCCGAGGACACCGATCGGCAGACTGCAGCAACGCGATAAGCAAGAACGATAAAGCGCTTGCGACGCGTATTGCGACGCAAATTGCGAGAACGCTATTCTTGTTGCAATTATTTCATACGAAATACGTATCTGTCGCTATCGATCGCGAGGCGGAATTACAAATGAACCTGATGCCTCGCGCGACACGCACGAAATTGCAAATCTTGCTATCATTAATCGTGATTACGCGACACGATGGAATTTAATCGGGGGGTGGGGCGTTTTTGCGCAATCGAATAGGACACGCTTCGCCTCGGAAGAAGCGTACTCGATTCTCGCGTCGAGGTATATATTTATCGGGCGAATCGCGTGCACACAGAGAGACCGCGCGCTCGTAATTGTCACGCGGTTCTTTATGTTCCCGCTACGCGCCGGGATTGGCCGAGGTGGACAATCGACCGGGGCCCAGCCGCGTTGCGGGGACCCAGTCACCGAAGATCCGGCCCCATTCGTCGCGACAAAACGACGTGGAAACGAACGTGCGTTACGGAAGAAGAACCTAGCCCGAACGTTACCATTGTCGTTCTCCGGCCATACTTGACGGCCATTTAATGCGCGCGTGTGAGCGACTCTCTCTCTCTCTCTCTCTCTCTGTCCCCGTCTCGACAACGAAGCGATCGCGATGATAGTAGTCTTCGTACACTTACATGTACTTACGCGTGTTCACTTATCTAGGATGTGACGTAAACGCCCCATCTATCCATTCTCGGTAACATCTCTGCGCGTCCGGGCGGTGATACGTTTCTTTCGCTATCGCGACACACGTATATTGTCGCTGCACATTATATTATCGCGCGAGAGCGAGGATTTCTCGCAATGGTTCTTGGTGCGATTGGTTTCGACAAAGTTTATTGTTGATTCCTGCTATCGATGTGTGTATTCAGCGTCGCTTTGACGAGGGGTTGCGATGTTCGGCGACGCGTAAAATCAGGGGCGATTAGTCGGAATGCACACAATTAGCGTTGCAGTTGCTCGACGCGCGCGCGCGCGCTATTACATTCCACGCGACACGCGTAGACACAGTTAGGCGGATAACGTTTTTTCTTTCCTTCTCAGTATATCCAGTATATCGTCAAGTTAGACACTCGCAATTTGAGCACATAATTCGAATTGCCAAGTTTAATCAACGGAACACGGTTCGCGTGCAACACGATGTGTGTAATTAATTAAACGCGAAATATTTAATCGGCGAAATGTTAGACGATTTTGCGATTGAATCACACGTCAACTTCGAGAAAAATCACCCGCGCGATCATTGAAGTTTGGACGATAGATTATACGTAACAGATCCTTAACGAGAGTTTGAGAAATTTCACGCTCGTCGGGGTTAATCGGGGGTATAAACCGACTCATCTTAGACAGATGTCGAAACCGACCACGAAGTTCAAAGGGCCGTTATCCCCGACATTACGACGAACTTTACGCAACTAATCTCGAATTTCTCTAAGTCGGTGGAACACACAGTTGCGAAACGTTTACTCTAATTCAAAGATCACGACTTGTCGGTAATTTGCTCAAACGATATTTTATTGTCATTGTTTAGTATTTTATATTTTGATACGTCCGCAAATTTTTGTGGAAAAAATCTTTTTTTGGCTTTTTGTTTGTCCTCTTCAAATCTTTTTTTGTCAACTGGAAAATTTGTTTCTGTATCTTCGCTAAAGTGTTTCCGCTAAAGGCGCGTGAAACATCGCGAAATCGAGCGTGTCCAAAAAACAAAGGGCACTGTTGTTTGTCGCCGATACCAGTGATGTCTGCGGCCCCGAATTTACCGAAGCACGAAAAAAAAGATATCTTCCGCCCGTAGACACCAATAAGAGCCTGGTCCCTCGTTTCGTTACCCGCGCAACTTCTCACAGCCATCAGCGCGCGAAATGTCCCCCGGCCCTTTGATGTTCGAGCGTTACAGAACACGAAGAGATTCCAGCGCGAATGGTGAAGAGCGGAATTCGGCGTCCTTCCATCCCCGGTGACCACTCGTGAATTGTTGCACTCTCGCGACTCACCCCATTCTGCGCTTTCGGTTCGCGCTCGCAAAGAGAAGCAAAAACACTCTTCGGCGCCGTTCTCGCACTTCAGCGGGTAATCGCAGCAAGAACGTGCTGTTGTCGGGGTGGGTCGCCTCCTCCGCCTGTGTCGCGATGAGACTGGGGAAACAATTAAGGGAAGGCGAGGCGCAGTGTCGCCTTGTATGATAATGCGCCGTAACCTCCAGCAAAGGAAAAACGATGTGGTAAAGGAAGAGAAGGATTACATGGTGATGGAGGAAAAGCGGTAGAAGTGCACGGAACGGGATTGTGCAGGTACACGATGACGACAGAGAGAGAGAGAGAGAGAGAGAGAGGGGTAGAACGGAAAGTACGACTAGAAGAGAATACGAAGTGGATGGTCGCGGGCGGAGGGGAGTTAGTGGAGGTCGTGGTTCTTACTTTGCATTCTTTTGTGTATCCTCCTGAGCCCTTCAGTCGACCTGCCGCTACCCGGTCGTCCTCTCTTCTCTTCCCTTGAAGCTTGAACTAACGCCCGAGGTTTTAATGCACTTGTCTACTCCACATACCGTTCATAAAGACACATATGCCGTCTGTTGAGCGAGAGTGGGCAGGCGAAGGTCTTGGAGTGAGATGGAGCCGCGCGTGCTGAACTCAGAAGCGGGACGGCGAAAGATACAGAGAACGGCAAAGAGGAGCCCGAGAGGAAGCGGAAGAGTGTGGCGAGCGTATAACGATATGAAATGCATTTTAAATTCTAAGCATCGACCGCATTATGGAAGAATCTTTGCTCTTCGCTCTTGCATAATCCCGCGCGGGGAAGAAGATGAGAAACGGAGCGCGCGGATGGTTGAAAAAGAGGAAACGACACGAGAGAACGGCGGTTCATGATTTTTCGATGAATACGGACTACCTACTGTGTCCGGTGTATTCGAATTATTACAGACGTTATCTAATATTCCGCTACTATTCAATGCGTCATATATTGTACGGTATCGTCTTTCATACGCTGTATCTCTGCGCTGATAGTAGAAAAAAAAAAAAAAATAAACCCAAAACTTTTTACATATTTTTAGTCACATACATCAGTTCTGTTTAGTAATGAACATAGACCGTATGAATGGATGGTGTTGCGGAGAATCTCTCGTAAAATTATCGAACGACATATTTGCTAGATATATATAAATATACATACAGCAAAAAAAAACTAGCAAATATATGACACATTAAACAAGCGAGGGCATCGAACTTTTGCTGTTTCTTTCATAAAACGATTTCGCTTTATCGCGACTTTATCGAATCTCAGAACAATATCAAAATGTGATCAACTTACCTCTTGCGTCCCGGTATCCGCGCACCAACCAGCTCTCTGCTACGGCGTCATTCGTCAATCTAAACAGACGAAAAGGAGTTTCAGAAAATCCGCGCTTTATTCGCACTTTCTCTCTCTCTTTCTCTCTCTCTCTCTCTACGTACGTTGTCTAAGTTTTTTTCCCTCGGCAACGCAAGTATATATCATCCGTGTATATGCAATATCACACGAATGGAACATCGCTCGTGCGTCGCGTTATTCAAGCGCGGAGTCTCCGCGCGGCGGAAGCGGGCGGACAATTTCGCGCGAGCCTTTCTCGCGGGCGCGTATAATGCGACGTTAGGGTCGAAGGTGTACCCCAAGTGCGCGCCGATTCAAGGCGCGAGCGTGTGGGAGAGAGGAGAAGTGCCGTGCCGATCTTTTCAAACGGGGAAAGAAAGCGGGCGCGCGAGATTCGCGCTTCATTCACTCGCGGAGTCCATGAAGGGAGGGGGCGCGAAAGACTCTCCTTCGAGATGTAATTAGCACATCTTGCCGTGACGGCGCGCGACAATGCGGCTTTTAATTAGTATGCGTCCACGTATTCCCGACCGATTCCTCCCTCGTAGCACTCACACACACACACACACACACACTTCTGAGAGCGAGCGTAGACGACGACTGCGACGACACACGTGGTCGATTTCACGCGCACGCACACGCGCGCGTGTACACACCAGGGCGCAGCAACGAACCGTGCGCGTTTATGTCGGCGCATCACACGCCGCTGCACCGCAGAAGTGTCAATACGTGGGTGCGTGTACGGCGACGACGAGCGAGTTCGCGTGCACACCGGTTTGCATTACGGCGGATACACTCGAGCACGTAAGGCGTTTTCTGCGACATAAAGAGCCGCGCGACCGGCTCGGGGCTTAACGATAATACATAATTTGATGCCGCGTTTATTTTCCGTTTATCAAAACAACTCACATCACATTTGAAAATTATATCGACGCAAATTACAAGCCTGAGAAGCGCAATAAATTCGCGCTGATTGCCTCGTTACTTGCGGCAATTTCTTTCTTAATGAGAATTCGATACGCATAGAGAGACGGTGTGAAGGAATCGGTAATTTAAAAATATCATATAACTCAGTCGAAACAAATGTCGAGACCGAAACGATGAATTATTTAGTTTGTCTTGGGGCAACACACGTATCGGAAAACAGATCGAACGCCTTGAATTCGCTATTCATTTTCTTATAGACTTCCGACAATGTTGCGTGCATTGATTTCGACGATAAAAGCGGTTCTAACTGTTACCGACTTTTAAACTTTGTCGTCTGTCATCGACAATCTCCATCGCGTTCTGTCGTCAATAACGTGCATAACTTCAAGGACGTGCCAACAAAATGATATTACTCCCGTGCGAAGCGTAAAAATGGATTTATACCGCTTTCTGCGAAAGAGACGATCGGGGGAGCGATGACGTGCGAAGATATAAATGGCGCAACAATGCGACCAAGTTTCTGCATTCTATACTCAATCAATCGGTGAACAGAAATCGAGTTTTTTTTTTTTTTTATCGCTTATCGAAGGTCAGACGCGTTCGTTCCCAAGTCTTAAAGCGCTTTATTGTCAATCGCAATCGCACGCAGATATGACACGCGGGCGTGACACGCGCTAACGCGACACGTCGATCCGCAATTATGTCGTGCGAGCCTTCACTCGCATCCTCGAGACAATTGTAGGGGGTTGACGAAGGACGCCAATTGCTGCTGAACCACTGACAGAAAGCTGCACGATTTCCGGGATGTGTGCTAATATCCGACATTAGATCGAGTGTCGTTCGGTAACGCGCGCGCGATTATACGCGTAACGATAGAAGGAAACGCGAGAAAATTCACGCAATGTTTACCGCATTTTTTACGTCAAAGAAACAAACGCGCTGTTAAGTTCGACGTTCTTTACTCATACGATTTGACGCACGTCCACTTTCTTTGCGTAAGTTAATTTCGCAAGTGTAGAAAACAATGAAACGTCATCACAAGCCACAATTTTCCTCATGACGGGAGGAAATATCGAAATATAAACGCGAGATGTAGGTTTTCGTCATTGTAAACGAACAAAAAAAAAATTGAACAAAAACGTTTCAAAGTGTCTTTGGTGCAATTTTTGCTAAATAAAAAAAAATTGATTAGAAATTTTGATTATAAATTTACAACTGCGCATTATTGGCGCACACGTGTACATCCATTCATTTCTACGAGAACATAAAGAATTAAATATGTACGATAAAACATTCGTGCATTCTTTACATTCTATCAAAATTATCCTATCCGAGTTATTTTAATTGCCGGTAGCGCGGCGTGCGATACGCGAGCGCGCGCGCGCGCGCGCGCGAACACGCGGCGCGAGTTTAAAACCGCTCGTATACATACGCGAAAAGTCGAGTTATATCCGATTTCGAAAGCGTGCGATCTGTGTCAATGCCACGATTTAAACGTAGCGAACCTTTCGGGAATTGAACGAATATTGAAATTGCGGGAAACGCACGAAACTTTTGCATAATGAGCTGCCGGCTCACGCCGTCACACAAATGTGCACGCACACCGTTCCCCGCACCGTCCCGCGCGTACATGAATATTTTCATTTGATTGCGTTAATTAAACTCGCGCGCTGCCAGGCGATGACCTTTGAAGTTCAGCGGCACGCGGCACGCATACACCAATTACCGATATTATTAATTGCAATGTGCTCTCCATTTTCGGCAGTCATTGAGTCTGTTGACTGACGAGTCAAAGTCGCTCAATCTTGAATCTTGGAGATAAAAGATGTTTTGCTTCTACATATAAACAAGATGTTTTCGAGTTTTAAGATAAGAGTATTAAAAAGCTACCGTTCAAATTGCATTATCTGTGTTGATTTGAGAGTAATCCGTGTATTATATTCTTAATTCGTTTTTATTCCTCATACACACACACAGACACATCTCACATGTGGTTTTTTATATTAAAACTTTCGATCTAAATCTCACCGCAAATAATATCGCAAAACTTCAGTGATGAGGCAATATTTTCCGCGCGCGTCTCTGAAATTACTCGCGGTTTTTTCCAGATTTTAATCTGGTGTTTCGCAAGAAATTAGGGACATTTCTTGGTGCGGCCTTTCGATAAGGCCGACCGCGAGATGCCGGAAATCATTGCGAATGTACTTACGCGATGAGATAACAGCCGCAGAGAAAAAAAAACTGTTATATATGCTATTCGCGATATAAACGTCACTCAGAACAATATAAATGGAACATTTATTTTGCAAGTTCCGTTCAAACAAAAAGCAAAAAACTTACGAAACAACAAAACAATGTGCAAAAATATTTTCCGAAGTAGTGAAATATAAATTTTCGAAATGTGGGAAAAAAAAGGAGAATTTGATGCGATTTAACTTGAGTTTGTATAATTTTCAGACGCGTCCTCGCTCGGCGCTCTAACGATTTCCGTCGCGATTTTCGAGACCTCGCACCATCGTGTCTCGTTTTGCCACCGAGCAGCGCCGTTAGGGTGAAGCACTTACGGTACAATGAGTATGCAAATAGGCTGGCATTCGGCTACATTTGTTTCAACGAGCTTAGGAACGCCGTCTCGCGAAGAAGCAGGTTCCTCCTCCTTCGCGGAGGCCATAAAAGTACACCCTTCGTGTTTCCAAATCTTTACAAAGCGAAGGGAGTCACTTTCCAACGCATTTTTATTGCCTGTTATTTCGCTCGCCTCGCATACCTCGACATTGTTTTCGCCATTGTTTTTTTTCACGACGAGTGACGCTACTTTTCTGCTCAGATACATATCGATCGCGCGAGAGTTTTCTTCGTGTTTCAGCCGCGAACAGCCGTTTCACCCCGATCGGATCAAACTTTTTGCCTGAACGATGTGTCTCTACACTTGGAAAAATGTTCCTCCTCGCAAAAGTTGAAACTTCGCGCGAACTTCATTCGTATGCATATTCCTATTACTTTGGTTACTTCATCCTACTTTGGCCGGAAGCGCGCGCGTCTCAGGAGATTAGTCTCGACAATTCAAAGCTGAAACGCGGAGTTTTCGTCTCGTGTCGCGTAAAGCCAATTACGCGTTAAGACGCGCGTCACAACCGTCGCGCCAGTCGAAAACTTGGCAAATTCTGACAACGAGCGTCGCGCGCGCGTCGTT